GTCCGAGGTCAATAACAATAATTCCAGTAGTGAAGATCTTGAAAAGGGAAAGTCTGGTATCCGGTCTGTGGCTAATCCAATTAATCCATCAGAGTCCACAAGAGTAGTCCAGAGAAGAGAGCCAAGTAGTAAACCAAGAAGATATTTCAAGCAGTTAGTTTTCCAAACAACAATAACCGGATAGCACTTGATGATGCAGTGTTTGTGCCTGAAGTGAGTATACCTACAGGGAAAGTAAACAAATTGCAGTATCATCATCAGTATCATCTGGTTCATTCAGGATGGTTTCCTAAAGCTTCATCAATTGAAGATGTCTTTAGAACTTTGTTTCCCATAATTCTTAGTTTATCTCATCTCTGTCAAAACACAGTCTGCTCCATTGGTTTTAGCAGCCTATAGGTCCAATGCACTCTGCTTGGTGAGGGTAGGATAATTGGCAAGTGCACACAATAACGATGGAACAAAACCACACACTAGAACAAAACCACACAATGGCGATTAGTGCTTCACCGATCCAAACTCATGAGGGGAAGAGGCGTGGCAACAACTTTATTGTACCATAGACAAAGAACATATTGAGGGCTTTTAAGATTATATCCCAACACTGGGCATGGGTTTATGGAATAAATTCAGGGTCTACTGAACAGAACAAGATCCTCCAGGTTTAGCCACATTCTGCACCTGGCAGTGGAGGCAGAAACCTAGGAATGCAGAAATAAATAAGTAAATGTGTTAAATTTTTGTTTTATTTTTTAATGTAATTTGTGGGTTTTTTTACATTTTTAAATAGATTGGTTATATAATGCAGTAAAATAGGGGCCACCTTCATCCTGGAGTGTCCTTTCAATGTGAAAAGTGAATAACAGCAGCAATGCAGTACACTTCAGAAATTAGTATCTGCTTACGTTTGTTGATACTCCATGCTGAGAATTTTCTGCAGTAATGTGACTTTTATCACATCAATGAGCTTCCTCAGTAAAAAAAAATACACAGGGTAAATATTCCTGTAAATAATAAGTTAACCTAGAGTGTTCTACTGCTTAGTTGAGACTCCTCTTAAAAATGAGTTGTAACAAATTCTGTTGCTGAGCTCTTTATCATCTATATAAATACAATTCGGATCCTAAACAAAACAACCGAATCCCTAGAAGGTATAACCCTTCCTGCTACTGTCATAATGCTGTCAAGTTATTAAATGTAATCTGTCAAAAAATATAAGAAAGGCTTATTTTGAAATACACAGATTCATGCTTTGTAATGCTCTTATAAATGAGCACCCAGCAATGTAAGCTCTTTCAGTTTTTTTTTTTTTTAAGAACACTGCACAGCATAATTAAATGCTATTGCTGTAGTGATAGAGAAATAATCAAAGTTGGTGCACCAATTATAGCAACTCAAGTCATTTTAACCTCAGATAGAGCAAGCCACGCAAATCTCACCAGGAAGATGAGTTTCATACAAGAGATCATATCAGACAAAATGTATCTTTCAATATGTTTAATGTATTAAGATTTTTAACTTAAAAGAACAATATAGTGTTAGTAATACAAACAGGTATTTCTAAAGGAAGTGTAAACATTAGATGACTCTTTACAGGAAATGTTTAGGAAGGTTGTGTAAGTCACATCCAGGGAGGTGAGACTAGGATTGCATAAACAAAGTGATTAAACGCCTAAATGGCAGTGGAATTGAGCAGTTAGACTGCAGGGGCATGATCAATACACCAAAACTGCTTCATTAAGCTAAAGTTGTTTTGGTGATTATAGTGTACCTTTAATTTAGCTATGGAGCTGGAAGCGCTTCTAGTGTGACAGTCACTAGAGGCATGATAGTAAAAATATACAATAAAAAATAGTAAGAGCACACTATAAATAAAATGTTACCACAAATCACATATACAGTGGATAGATCTAAAAATCAAAAGGAACATATACATAGGGTAATATAGTAAAACTGCATAATTGATCAAATCAATTTTGGATCCACTCACACAAGCTGGCTCAGATTAAAAGCTCAATTGCAGAAGGAATGGTGGCCACCTGGTAAGGATCTGGATGTTCAAGTTCAGAGCTTTGCCTTTTATCCAATGCAGCATCAAAAAGGAACTCAAAAATGCAGAATATAGGTGTATAAAAACACCACTGACTTTATTAAGAACAAACAGTAAAATATACCTTACAAATAAAATAAAATCTAGTACACCTCCACCTGATGCGTTTCGGCTGATTGCCCTTATCAAAAGTGGTTCTGTTGTGACTGTCTCTGTTTCCCCTTTTATATTCATTTTGGTGTCTTCATCCGTATTGCCGATGATTATTTCCGGGTTCACAACCCTTGCGTGTTTGAACGTCATTACGCCTCCTTGCGTCTGACGTCAAGTTTCATTAGAGTTCCGGCACTCGAGTCAAAAGTTTAAGTTTGTCACTGTGTATGTTCTAAGTCCTATACACACGATTTATATGTACTTTGGAAGTCCACCATGTTTATGGAGTAGTAAATCAAAAGGGGAAATATAAGGCAAAATTGTGGAATTATTTTAAAAACTATTTTAAACATTTTAAAAACATAGTTAAATATAAAAATATATATAACTATATATAAAAAAAATACTTGATAAACATTAATGAAGACATAGATCTAAAACTGGGCATTATCTCCCTAGAGAGAAGAAAGGAAAGAAATTAATATATGAATAAGGTATAAAATATTAATAAAACAATAATACAGAACAATAAGGATAAGAATAGTAACAATTAAAAGCAAGAATTTATTTAACAATTAAAAGCAAGGCCGTGAGGAAGAAGGGTGTCAAAGTTAAAACTCCATCTAATTTCAGACTGGCTCAAGAGGCTATCTATATCTCCTCCTCCCCAATGTGTTTCAACTGCTTCGATACCAATAAAATCCAATGAAAGATGATACAACAACCTTAACAGAGCGATCACATGGTCACAATAGGTGTCCATGTGTCTGCCTGCAGGGGGACTGCCTGTGCTGACAGGCAGTCTCCCTACTAGTGTAAAATCATAAAAAAAAAAAAATTAAAGTTAAAGTTAATAAAAAAAAATAAAATAACATAAATACATAATTATATAAATAAATAATTCTATAAATATACACGTAGACTTCAAATATATAAATATGTATATGTATTTAAATTGTATGTGTGTATTTATGTAATATTTTTACATAATTAAGTAATTTTATTGATTGCAATTTGAGGGACCTGCCTGCCAACCCAGGCCGAAAGTCCAGAGAATTTAATTTGCTAGCACTATATTTTACCCTGTAACTTTCTATCACACCCTAAAACCTGTACATGGGGGGTACTGTTTTACTTGGGAGACTTCCCTGAATACAAATATTAGTGATTCAAAACAGTAAAATGTATCACAGCGATGATATTGTCAGTGAAAGTGACTTTTTTTGCATTTTTCACACACAAACAGCACTTTTACTGATGATATAATTGTTTTGATACGTTTTCCTGTTTTGAAACACTAATATTTGTGTTTAGCAAAGTCTCCCGAGTATAACAGTACCCCCCATGTACAGGTTTAATAGAGTTTTTGAAAGTTACAGGGTCAGATGTATGGGTCAAATATTTTTACATTGAAAAAGGCCAGGTTGGTTACGTTGCCTTTGAGAGCGTATGGTAGCCCAGGAATGAGAATTATCCCCATGATATCATACCATTTGCAAAAGAAGACAACCCAAAGTATTGCAAATGGGGTATGTCCAGTCTTTTTTAGTAGCCACTTAGTCACAAACACTGGCCAAAATTAGCGTTCAATTTAGTTTTTAACTTTTTTCACACACAAACAAATATGAATGCTAACTTTGGCCAGTGTTTTCAACTAAGTGGCTACTAAAAAAGACTGGACATACCCCATATTGAATACCCTGGGTTGTCTACTCTAAGAAAAATATGTACATGTGGGGTGTTATTTAGAGATTTATGACAGATAATAGTGTTACAATGTCACTATTGATAAATTTTAAAAATGTATGTTTTGAAACCGCAATATCCTACTTGTACCTATAGCCCTATAACTTGCTAAAAAGCGTGTTAAACACTGGGTATTTTTAAACTCAGGACAAAATTTTGATTCTATTGGCAGTTTTTTCATTTGCTTTTGAGTAATAGATTTTTCAAGTAAACGTCAAAAAACATATTTTTTTCAATTTTTCATCATATTTATTTATTTTTTTAAAATTAAATTACATGAGATTATATAAATAATGGTATGTAAGAAAGCCCCTTTTGTCCTGAAAAGAACAATATATAATTTGTATGGGAACAGTAAATGAGAGAGTGGAAAATTACAGCTAAACACAAACACCACAAAAGTGTAAAAAGAGGCCTGGTCGCAAATGTACAACATCGCAAAAACAGTCCAGTCCTTAAGCGGTTAATATTATAAATAGGTTCTCGAATTCTTATTTTCAAAGACCTATATGTCTTTCCAATATATTGGAAACCGCAGGGACATATTAACATGTAAATTACATTTTTGGTATTACACGTAATAAAAGATTTTATATTGTAGGTTTTTTTTGGTCTGAAAAGAGGTGAATTCTCTAACATTTTTATTGTTCTTTTTATTATCTCTTAAATTACAACCACTACAGTTCTTGCAATAATAAAAAACATTTTCCCTTCTTAAAAAATTATGTGAAAAACTATGGGTTAAAATGCTTTCAAAATTTTTGGCCCCTCTAAAAATAAAACAAGGTTTATTCACTATAAAATTTTGAATATCCTGCTCTTCATCTAAAATGTGGATCTCTTCTTTATCATTTTTTTCTTTTAATGGTCTTTCTTTATATTTTAAAAGATCTTGTCTTGGGGGGGCGGGACTTCCGGTCCAACCGAACGGTCGCATGCTGTGAGTGGTCCGTGACTGGATCGGCCTAAAACGCGGCATAAACAGCGGCAAACAGCCCACAACACCCCACAAACGGCGCCAGAGGTAAGGGGGACACCCCCCCACCCCAACATGGCCCCTCCAAACGCCCAGCGATCATCCGATTTTTTCCGGCAAGGAAAAAAAGACCGGCTCCGTTCCGACCAAGATGGTGGCGGCTCCCGCTCACCAACACACACGTCTGAAACAGGCTCTGATAATGAGTCGCGGCAACGACTTTCTGTCTCAGAGACGAAATTAGCAGCCATGCTCCATGAACTGCGCACCTCTATGAGAACCGACTTTCAAGCAGCGGTCTCAGATCTGCGCAAAGACCTCCTGGAAGTGGGGACACGTGTGAATGTACTGGAGGAAAAAACTGATGAGCTGTGTCAAGCCAACGATGCAATAGTGAGCAAACTGCAGCAACTAGAAAAAGACAACAGGCGCCTGACGGAAAAAATGGCGGACTTAGAAGACCGCTCCCGCCGCAACAACATCCGCGTGCGAGGAGTACCGGAAAAGGTGACACAGGAGGATCTGCCGTCCTACCTATTGCGCCTCTTTCAGGCTATCCAACCAGCCCTGGCACCAGCGGACTTACGCCTTGACCGAGCACACCGGGTACCAAAACCCACCAATCTCGCTCGAGATGTCCCTAGGGACGTAGTGACCAGATTACACTATTACAGCGCGAAGGAAGCAATCCTTACAGCGCAGAGAAAGGCATCCGAAATGCCACCTACATTTGAGGAGATATCACTATATGCTGACCTATCACCGACGACGATGTCCAGGAGACGGGACTTTATTAATGTCACAAAGTGCCTCAGAAACCACAAGGTACCTTACAGATGGGGTTTCCCCACTAAGCTCTTGATTTGGCGAAATGGATCACTGACCAAAGTTGAAGACCCGACCCAAGGAATGGAGACCCTCAAATCCTGGGGATTATTCCCCACTGACAACGCTCCCACGACCCCGGCCCCACTGCGGAAAGTGGCCACGAGCTGGACAAAGGCCTAAGCAATGACGCCGCCACGGCTCTTCCTTACATGGGCCGCTGCCGGCTTAATCTCCAAACCCTGGAGGACCCTTCAGACCTACGCCCGTGCTATGAACTGTGGCAACAGGTTTTCCATCTGCACGTGAGTACAGCTGCACCCTAGCCCTACCACGCTCAGCCGCCTTAACACTATTGCCTCCCGCCACCCCATACCCCGGGCTGACCGCCCCTCCCGGGAACCAAGAACGCTACCCAGGGGAGAGACTTATCTGGACTTACACCTCCAGGGGGCGAAGGACTTTTCCACCCCTACCCCACACCTTTCTAGGCCCTAGAAGGCTATGATGAGACTCAAGACCCGGCCTAGGCCTACGCCTTTGCCCTCGCAGCCTGCGGCCTTTGCCGCCCCCCCCTGTGGGCCCCGGGGAGTGTTGCCCCACCTCAGCTGCTCAGCCATACCAAGTGGTTGGACTGTAACAGGCGTTTAGGCCCCACCGAACGCTGAAGAACCCCCTCCCCCCCCCGAAGTTCTCTTGGGACACCACCCGCCGCTGTAGCCCCCTCTCAGAGCAGTAGAGGGTACGCGCTCTGCGGTGGGGTCCTCCACATAATGCTCCTTAGCTATTTGCTCTGTATGTACTTTGTTTACGTTGTATATTTTTGTTCTCACCGTTATCAGCTCTGTCATTTCCCATGCCCCGGCCCTACCTTTGAGATGCTCCCTCTCTACCATAGGCTGAGCGACGAAGTGTTCGCCCAGGACATCCCTAAGTCTTACTGCGTTAAACCCACGAGAAAACCTCAATCACCCAGATGTGCCTATGAGGCGCCCAACCCCCAATGCAATGAGCCCCCCTAGCAAGTTTCTCTTGGTGTCCCTGAATGCACACGGCCTAAATACCCCACAAAAACGAAGACTGGCCCTGTCTCAATTGAAAACCCTGAAGGCTTCGGTCGCATGTATACAAGAAACCCACTTTTCCGCTACGAACCCCCCAAAGTTTTCGGCCTCCTCATATCCGCTAGCGTACCACGCCCTAGCGCCTAACAAGACAAGAGAGGTCAGCACACTATTCCACTCAGATTGGAGTTTCCAATGTGAAAGGGAATATAAAAGCCCTGACGGTAGGCTCCTGATCCTGGTGGGCCTCCTCAATGACGCACAGGTGACTATAGCAAACCTTTACGCCCCCAACGTCAACCAGTACGACTTCCTACGAAAGGCACTGAGAAAGGTTGACAAACTAAAGAAGGGACAGACGATGATATGCTGTGACTTTAATTGTGTGTTAGACCCTGACCTAGATAGATCAGGAGCACCAGGCTCCCACCCAAGAGACAAGCTCCTAGGGGACAAACTGACGACGCTCCTCCATCTCCATAACCTGCATGACACCTAGCGGGCAATCTACCCAGCTTCTAGGGTCTACACTTTTTACTCCAGGGTCCATGACCAATATTCCCGCATCGACATGTTTTGGGTCGACACTAAAACCCTGGATACCCTAGCGGAGGTCGCTATTGCCCCGATAACCTGGTCAGACCATGCCCCCCTCACATCATCATTCTCCACACTACACCCAGTCCGCGGGCGGGGGCAGTGGAGTCCCTCATAGACAACCCCGAGAGGGCCTCTGTGATCAGGAGATCACTAACACACTACTTCGAAGCCAATCACTACACTCACACAAGCGTTACCACGACATGGCTGGCCCACAAGGCAGTCACGCGTGGAGCACTTATACAGATGGGGGCAAAACTGAAGCGCCAATTATCTGAGAAAAGTGACTCCCTACTGAAGGAATTACAGTTAGCCGAAACACGACACAAAGCCTTACCCACTGAACCCCATAGACTCGAAGTCCAAAACATTAGGTCCACGTTAGAAACACTACAAATGCAACGGGTAGAGAGAGCCATTAGGAAGATGAAAACAACTTACTATAGGCAGGGGAACAGGGCGGGTAAACTGCTGGCCTCTCAGCTTAAGGCGAGAATCTCCCAGGTAAAAATCCCCTATGTCAAGGATGATCATGGAACCAAAGTCATGAACCCCAAAGCGATTGTAGACGAATTTGCTACGTTCTACGCAAAATTATACAATCTCTCCGGGGATTCCACCCAGCACCAGCCCACCCCTCAGAACATCGCCACCTTCCTGGAGGGTATACATCTTCCCCAGCTCTCCACCGCGCAGGCCGCAACGCTGACGACTCCGATCCTACCCGCCGAGGTCACCAGGGCACTACGAGGCACCCCGAGACATAAAGCCCCAGGACCGGATGGTTACTCCGTACACTATTATAAGGTGTTTGAGGACCAACTACTCCCCCTCCTCACGGCACTATTTAACCACATTCTAGACACGAGTAACATGCCCCCGGAGATGTTGGAAGCCACAATTGTCACAATTCCCAAACCGGGCAAACCCACAGACCTGTGTGCAAACTACCGCCCGATCTCGCTCCTCAATGCCGACACCAAACTGTTCGCCAAGGTCCTTGCAAACCGTATCCGACCCCTCCTAAGCCAACTTGTCTCACCTGAGCAGTCGGGCTTTGTCCCGGGTCGCCAGGTTGAGGACAACACCAGGCGAGCCCTGGACATAATGGAACTCATGGACTCTGACCGGTTACAAGGCCTTATGGTTGCCCTAGACGCGGAGAAAGCCTTCGACAGGCTCCACTGGGGCTATATGTCGGAGGTCCTGCGCAGGTTTAACTTTCCGCCCAAATTCTTGACTGGACTCTTATCCCTGTACACTTCCCCTCGGGCGACTATCATGAGCTCTGGTTTCGTCTCTAGACGCTTTGATCTGACGAACGGCACACGACAGGGCTGCCCACTCTCGCCCCTCATATTTATTCTCGCAAAGGAGCCCCTACTCCACAAAATCAAGGCAAACTCTAACATCACGGGGGTCCCCTCACCAACAGGACAACATAAATTAGCAGTGTTTGCGGATGACATTCTCCTTTTTCTCACCAGGCCCTCAGACTCCCTCCCCACTCTACTGCACCTTTTGCACGACTACGGCCGTGTATCTTACTATAAAAACAATATAGCAAAAACGCAGGTGCTACCCATGAACCTGCCCAGACCCCACTTTGAATCTCTAAAAGCACTCCACTCCTTCGAATGGAGGAAGGATACCCTCTCTTATCTAGGCACACTGCTGACGCCCTCAAAAACCAAACTCATAAGACATAACCATAGGAAACTGATGGGAGACATAGAGCGACGGCTGGATAGCTGGGGCACCAAAAACACATCTTGGTTAGGACGAATTAATGCCATCAAAATGGTCATCCTCCCACAAAAAATACTATTTCTTTTCAGAGCCCTACCGATTACCCTCCCCAAGTACACCCTCCGGGCATTCCAAAGCCTCATTAATGCACACATATGGAAAAGAAAACCACCAAGGGTATCTCTGGCGAACATTAGTATGGTCATGGGAGGAGGAGGAGTGGGAGTGCCCCACATAACCAAATACTATCTAGGGACACACCTGTCCCAGATGGCACGCCTTCTGGCTCCCTCAGACTACCCAATGTGGTACCACCTGGAGAGCGCATTCAGCGCACCCCTATCCCTCGGTGACCTACTGTGGACCCCCAGACAAAGGCCCAACCCCACTATCCCAAGCTACTCTCGACATCGAGGGGATCACTTCAGGTGTGGCTCAGATGGGCCCCAAAAATGACCGGTGGGAATATAGAAGCCCTTGCCCCGCTGACTACTCTCCAGCGCCACACTCACGACCTCCCCTTACAGGGATGGATAGGACAAGGAGTGACCAGAATATCACATCTCCTGGGAATAGAGGGTCTACTACCATTCCCTGACCTCCAGAAAAAATACCTTATACCTAACAGGGAGATCTTCACATACATTCGTATAAAGCATATAATAGGAGACGTCAAAAAACTAACCATGCTCACACAACCCCACAACTGTTTTGACACGATGTGCCTGGGCCAAAAAAAAAACAAAAAGCCACTGTCCCTATGTTACCACCGCCTATTAGAATTGGACAGACCAACAAAACAATCCTACATGTTACAATGGGAAAGGGAGCTAAACAGTACCTTTGAGCCGCACAGATGGGTGAGGGCCATGTCATTGGTAAAAAAGCCACACACTGTCTAGACCATGTAGAAGCGGCCTACAAGTTATGGCTTCGATGGTACTATACGCCTCAACGGCTGGCCAAAATATACCCAGGCTCCCGGGCAACGTGCTGGCGCTGCAATCAACAAGAAGGCACCCTAAGCCATATATTCTGGTACTGCCCTGCACTCAGCCAATATTGGCAACAAATCCAAGACCTGATAAAACTCAGAGTAGGGATAGATCTACCACCTGCCCCTGAACATTACCTGCTCCATATGATGCCACCAGAAATAACAGCCCATGAGGCCTCACTGATCACCCACATCACGCTTGCTGCAAAGCAACGGATAGCTGCCCTATGGAAATCCACCTTGGCACCAGACATACAGTCGGTGATTGCCAAAGTGAATTTCACCCAACAGTATGAGGAAATGTCGCACACGATTAGCGGTACCCTATTGAAACATAATAGCACTTGGTCCAAATGGTAGATGGTTGTGACAACGTGGTGACGAACACCTCCCTCTAATACATTTGTTTAGGGGAGCATCCCGTAAACCCCCCCCTTTTTTTCCTAGTTCACGCTCTCTCCCACCTACTTCCACCCTCCCTCCCCCCCCCTTTTCTCAAGAAACCAAGGGTTATAACCACGTTGGCAAGCCTTTCAACTCTGAGGAGACCAGTAGAGTAGTTACGGAATAACAGCCTATGGAGTTATTGTATATGTGACACCCTGAAGCATCGCTTGAATAATTATGTAACTGGAAACTAGTTACTACTCAGATCTGTTACTGTACCCGTTTCTTATGGCTCCAATGTATTAGATCCTACTGTGTAATACTATGATGTTGAACCCTTAATAAAAATGATAAATAATAATAAAAGATCGTGTCTTGGTTTATTTTCAACTTCTTTGTAGACATCTTGTATCTTATAGGGGTCGTATCCCTTGGCAATCAACTGTTTTTTTTTTGTTTTTTTTATTGATGATTGTTCTTTATAATGATTTAAATCTGAACAGTTACTCTTTATTCTTAAAAAATGGCCCTTGGGAATGTTGATCAACCATGGTCTAAAATGGCATCTTGTAAAATCAATAAAACTGTTAACATCAACTTGCTTAAAAAAAGTTTTACTTTATTGTGTTCAACATAAATTAATAGATCTAAAAAAATAAATTTTTTCAGTACTGATTTCATATGTTAATTTAATATTTCAATTATTATAGTTAAGATCTTCAATAAAATTTAAAAGCGGTTCTTGATTTCCCCGCCATATAATAAAGATATAGTCAATAAAACGCTTATAGAGGACCAGGTTTGCCCCAATGTCCTCTCGGGAAAAAACTTGTTTTTCTTCCCAATAAGACATAAAAAGATTGGCATAACGCTAGGCAAACCTGGTCCCCATAGCTACCACTTTAGTTTGTAAATACAATTTATCGTTGAACCAGAAAAAAATATTTTCTTAAATAATATTTATTCCTTCAATAATATGGTCGACCTGAGAATTATTAACAGTTCCAGATTTATTTAAAAAATCTCTAGTAGCCTCACACCCTAAGTTGTGCTGAATAATAGTGTAGAGGCTACTGACATCACAAGTGGCCATAATAAAATCATATTCCCACTTAAAAGTATCTAAAATTTGGAGTAGATTGATTGTGTCATTGAGATATGAAGGGAAGGTTTTAACAGAACTTTGTTAAAAAGGGATCTATAAACTGGGATAAAGGAGATAGGAGGGATCAAATCCCTGAAACAATGGGTCTTCCAGGAAGATTATTAGCATCTTTATGAACTTTTGGTAAAACATAAATAACTGGAATCTTAGGAAAATTTACATCTAAAAATCCATACTCCTTCTTATTTAAAATCCCTTCATTTAAACCCTTGGTTAAAAATACTGCATATGATTTTTTAATAATTCTGAATATGTTTCTTTGTCTTTTAGTTGTTTGTTTATTTCATTCAGATACTTCTCTTTTTGCCAAATCCCTACCCCACCAATCTTATCGGCTGGTTTTATTATAATGGTGGGATCATCTTTTAAATCTTTCAGAGCTGCCCTTTCTCGCTTTGTAATATTATTTTGATATTGATTCATGGGTTTAATTTTTCTTAAATCTTTAATACATAACTTTTCAAAAACTTTCATGGCATCCGATTTTAATTGACCAGGATAAAAAGTGGATTTCTTTCTAAAACCAATATGTTTATACAAATCATTCCCTTCATCTAAAATTGTGTATTTTTCTGAATCATAGTGTCAGCTACTAGAGGTATGTTAACCCTGCAATGAAAAAATAGCTGTTCCTGCAAAATGGCAATATTTTTGGTTGCAAGGTTAAAACTACAGGTACTTGCCAGCCTGATCACTTCATTGAGATGAAGTTGTCTGTGTGCATATAGTGTAATTTTAACAAAAAAACAGAAACACTTTTAAAAAGTCAAGTTTTCACACAAATTAATGTGAGTAAAGTGTGTTAGTTGCCTGGGGGACAGTTGCCCTTTACCCATATTGCCATCCCTCCCTTGCAATAAGTCACAATCCAGCCAGAAAAACAACATCATTAATGAGGTAACACTCCAAATAATTCTCAAGTAGATCTTTAATCCATCAATAAGAGAATCAGCCAGGCAGCATTTCAACCTTCTCAGGCCTTATCAAGCCAGAGCCTAAAGTGGCAACACAGTACTTATATAGTGCAAACCAAAAAATGAGACAAACAGGGAATTTCATCAGTTCTTGTGGTGATATTCCAAAATGGAAATTATTATAACAGGAAACAGCATCAATTGTCATGTGAAATGGGAAGTGTTGGCAGGAACCGCACTCAATCTCTAAGCAGTCACCTGGTGCTCCGGAGCAGGACTAGTAATTCCACAACAGCAAAGCAAATAGAAGAAATATTTCCAGGCACTCAGGATGTTAAAGCTGCTGGGGTTTTAACTGAAACAAAAAAGACAGCAAAGTTTCAACCTAACAAGAGGTCTTTGTCAAGCTAACACCACAGAACAGCATAAGTGTATATATAGCAAACAGTGTGGAAATCTGCCAAGTATGTGCACACATATAGCCAAAGCTAATAAAGAATCCTATATATTCGTGCGTACATGCACACTAACACGCCGATAATCAATATAAACCCCACTTATTCTCGCGTCCTGGGGTAATGAAACGAACAGAAATAGCAATGCGTACATATGACAGGAATAAATATATCCTCAATAAGTAAATAGGTGAAGGCTATTTAAAGAAGAAAGAAAAATAGAATAAGAAAGGAAATAATAAAATAGAAATTTAAATAATATTAAGAATAAAAATAAAATAATAAAATAAATATAAAAATCTAAATAAATAAAATTAAAATTAAAGTAAAATAAAATAAAAAATAAGAATAAAACTAGAAATAAAAATAGTAAATAATAAATAGTAAATAAAAATTAATAAATAAAAAAGAAAATAAAAATAAAAAATAAAAATAAAGAATACAATAAAAAGAACTCCCAACTAGACACACAGAGGGAAATCAGAGAGTATACAAAAAATATATATCTAAGACATATATCTAAAAATATAAAGTGAATTAAATAGCTTGTAATTCTGTCTAAGTTTTCACTTAAATTATATTTGTTATCACCATTAGAGGGAACATTCCAATAGACAAATGAGAATTGTTAAACTATATATAATAGAGTACTGTAGTCACAATATATGCATATAAGTAACACCCCTATCATGTAGACTATAGAATGTGTGATGCTAGTGTCAATAATACAAATGAGTAAAAAGCCTACATCAATTATTAAATAAGTGAAAAAATGCCATAGAATAAATATGTGCATGTGCTATGTACTCAAAGTACATTAAACAATCAAAGTGCATGTGTAAAGTATTAAGTAATAATTGATATAAAATAAAGTACTAAGAATAAATATAGATAATAAGGTATAGTAATAAAACCGTGACATTTTAATGTTATGTGACTATAAATATACTTATTATATAAAGATACCATAACATATAGTGTTATCTGACTATAAAGTGAAAATAAAAATATTATATAAGATACTTATAGTGCAACCACATAGATAATATATTATGTCCAAGTCAAAGTGGTCCCGAAAAGATAATCCAGAATTCATGCCAAATAAAAAAGGAATTAAGGTGTAGATAAGAACCAGCACCAAAATTCTTTCAGAAGATCTGAAAAAGTAAAAATGTAAATATAGCAATAAAAGAACACCTGGAAGTGGTCTATTTACATCGTATTGATGCGGTACCGGTATTTCGAGAATAGTTTCCATTAGTCTACTTTAGTGTAACCCTTTATGGAGGAGTAAGTGCTCTGGGATATTGGGGGCTCAAGATGTGGTGCATATATTTTTTCATATGTCTTCTCCAAGATATTATACTATTGTGCTCTTAACAGACAAAGTTGGTTTAATAAATTTTATTTAAACATAGTATTTGATATTTAAATACTTGATTTTCTTTTTATGTTGTCACTGAGCATTATGCATACATTTTCTTTCAGGGATGTTTATTTCCTGGATTTGGTTTTCTTGGTAACCATAATCAGATAAGCATGGTTGGGAGGATTCCAGTCATTATGGGTGGCCACCCACAGGGCCGGCGCTACCTGTTAGGTGGACTAGGCAGCCGCGTAGGGCGCCCTTTGGGAAGGGGTGCCACCAGGAGCGCCGGCCCCCCTCATGCTGCAGCTGCCCGAGCGCTCTGTAGAGAGCCTCAGGCGGCTGCAGCTTTACCCGGGCGGTGCGTCCATGAGGGCGCACCGCCCGGGTGCAGCATGAGGAGAGGGGCTGACAGGAGGGAAGTGCTCAGCGCTCCCTCCTGTCACTCCCTCACTGTAGCGTGGCCGAGCCCTCTATTGGTCCGCGGGTACAGGGAGCATCTGTCTCCTGTACCCGGCTGGACTAACAGAAAATGCACACTGAGTGTGCACTTCCTGTTAGTTCGGCCGGGTACAGGAAACAAAAGCTACCTGTACCCGCGGACCAATAGAGGGCTCAGCCACTCTACAACAATGGTAGGGAAGGGGGGGAAAGAATTGACGGGGGTGGAAATGACAGGGAAGGGGGTGGAATTGACAGGGAAGGGGAATTGACAGGAAGGGGGGAATTGACTGGGAAAGGGGGGGGATTGAGGGAAGGGGAATTGACTGGGACTGACAGGAAGGGGGTTATTGACAGGAAAGGGGTAAATTGACAGGAAGGGGATTGACAGGAAGGGGGAATTGACAGGGAAGGGGGATTGATTGGAAGGGGGGAATTGACAGGGAGAGTGGGGGGAATAAATTGAAAGGGAGGGTGGGGAATAAATTGAAAGGGGGGGGAATAAATTGACAGGGGGATAAATTGAAAGGGAGGGTGGGGGGAATAAATTGACAGGGAGGGGGGAATAAATTGAAAGGGAGGGAATAAATTGAAAGGGAAGGGAAAGAAATTCACAGGGTGGGTGGGAAGAAATTGACAGGGAGGGGAATTGACGGGGGAGGGAGGGAGAATGAGAGTGGGGAGGGGAGAAGAGAGTGACAACGGGGGAGAAGAGAGTGACAAGGGAGGGGGAAGAAGAGAGGGACAAGCAGGGGAGAAGAGAGGGACAAGGGAGGGGGAGAAGAGAGGGACAAGGGGGGGAGAAGAGAGTGACAAGGGAGGGAGGGGGGGG